TCAGAGAATAAGCCAGTATTATTCCAAAAGAATTACATAAAAAAATTTTCCCACTTAATGACACTTGAGAGATCGCTAACTTCAAGTTACTGCTTGCTGCTGCAAAGAGCCTTCTCGCTAATCGCATGGCTTAGCAACAGCTGCAGCAGAACTAACATACACTGCAATAACTTATCCCTGCCTGCTGTACTCTCCTTCTGAGAAAAAGGCAAGCTCAAAACCAAGCTACAAGTGACATTCATTTCAAAACCCCCAAATGCACTAAGATTAAAAAGAAAAAAGAAAATCTTTACGTTTTCAAACCCATAGACTCCTGGTAGAAAGCAGCTTTTAAATTACCATGTTGTGGTCCTGGAAATTCTGACATCTCTGTCCCTAAATGCTCAGGGGACCAATCCGAGCGGGACTTGGTTTGCAAAGTAAGCGCTGCACAATTGCACAGAGCCAACGTTTGCAATTTGCCATTTCGGCAGTAGTTGAAGCCAGTTCTTCCTCATTGCTAAAAAGAGCAGCATGACCACTGACGGCTTTTGGCAGAATCCTCTGAAGAGTCTAATATCTTAATTATCATATGCTTCAGAATCATTTGAATCACCGAGCTTCCTCCAAGAAGCACAAGCCACGAAGGAAGACCAGCCACAGTAGAGGTCACTACAGTTTCCCTGTAGAGAATCCCCGTTTTGTCTTACTGGTCATTTCTCTTGGATGAAAATGAAACAAGAGGAAAAAAAGCATAAAACTCCTGAGAAAGCTGTGCACGCTTCAGCCTTAGGAACCCACTCATGAACTGAGCACAAAATTGCAGCTATGGTGAGCAGACTCAAAAACACAGGGGAAATTAAAAGAGAAAAGCAATGCACTGGTCTCCTAGTTGCAGGCAGGAAAGTCTGAAGTTCAGCTTGGAGGAAGCTATAAAGTGTCTTAAGAGTAACAAAGGACTTGAATATTTGGATAGATGTTCCATTTGTTTTAATAGTTCATTAAATGGAAGAGCTTGTAACCCTAACATGACATTCAGAAATAAAATGTAACCTTAATATAGATCTATTTGCTCTTCATGGGGATGATCATAACTGCAGAATATCATTAAAAATACAGCACTTGCTAGATGAAGCAGTGCCTAGTACTTCCGGGTTGCAAAAGGGGTTTGCTTTGCATCTTTGTTGTTATTCCAGAGGAGGCTTTTTTCCTTCTTCTAAGATTTCTCATTTATCAAGGGAGCAATAAAACAGTATTTTGTAATGCTGACTTTTTTTTCCCTTCAGAAATTCTTGTAACATAAATAGATATTAAATACTTTAAGGCAGATCACTTTATTTAAAATATCTATAAATGTAAAATGCATTAATAAGACCTCTTAATGCTTGTTTTGTGGTTTGACAGTAAACGTAATGGCTTACAGTGAGGAGTTAAGTTAATAAACCCCTGACCAGTAAGGTTCTATTTGCTTAAATGCAAGCACCCATGCCAAAATTAACATTCTGGTTTCTTTTAGAGGCAGCCCGCCATCCTGCAGCGTAGCTGAATAAGCACAGCCCAATATGGGGTAAATCCTGTCCCCAAACAGTCACAGAAGGCCAGAAGTCCTTTTGAGGCAAGCAGGAAACAAAGATCCTGAGTGAAGGCCAGGAAGCCTTCACTTGCATGGATACAAAGAGCATAACTGATTCTGCACCAGAGAAAGATGTCACCGATGTCTCCCTACGGAGTTAGGGTCATGCTACTCCTGTTACCACCGCTTTACAGATGAGCAACTAAAGTAAGAAGATTCACCATGGCTGGTTCAGAAACTACCAAAAGCCTGTAGCAGAGTGAAGAATTCAATTCAGGCCTACCTAAATCACATAACCATCCTATTTCTCTTCCTGAAATGTATTTTCCAAATCATTCTTCAGCCTCCCTTGCTGGGGTGAAGATCTGCTTTCATTATGGCAAACTGAATGCTAAAATTCCTTTCGATTTCACCTTGTTTTACAACCTCAGAGAAAGGCTGTATTTATGCAATGATACCACCTATGCGTTTGCCTATCATTATTTCTCAGTATCTTCCGAGCTGGCTGGCCATTCATAACCAATTTCGTCAAAGAGGCAGAGGCCCAAAAGATATCACATTCCTATTAATGTGGCAACGTAGGTGGCCAGATAAAGGAGAGAGCCTCTGCCAGTGCCCTTCTGAAGGCTGAAACGTAAATTCAAATCTTAGCAGACGTCAGAAAAAGCTACATGAGTGAGCTCTAGGAGCAATGACTTAACAGTGGGAAGCATTTCAGCTGGACTTTACACCTTATGAGATGTCAGATAAATGTGTGCCTCAGCCAAGACTCTTCTCCCATGTATATTCTCCAGTGTCTAATAAAGAGATGAGCTCACACTGCAGCATCAGAATCTAGCTTAAAAACCCATCAGCCAAATCCATTGGAAACTAAGCTTCACTATTTGTTTAGCAAATGGGTTTAGGTGACCCAACCCATCTATCTGCACCTCCCCAAACACATACACTCACACCTGGCATACTGATCTTTCCCAGACATTCTGTGGTACTCCTCAGCCTGGAGGGACAACAGTGCCATGGCCATCTTTTGTTTAGGACTTGGCCTATCAGTGCACTCAACCCTACTATCTTTTCAGGCTGATAAAGCTACACAACACAGAGACGCACTAATGGCAGCACTAAAAGAATTGACCCTTCCATGCTAGGATCACCAAGACAGATCAGACATGTTTTAATAGCTCATGCAGCCATAATGCCTTGTGCTAGCCACAGTAAAACTGCCAGGCAGCAACTGCAGAGTCGTATTATCCCACATAAGAAACAGGGCAGAGCAGATTTTAGCAGGACCCTTGAGTTGTCAGCGCAAACAAAAAGCATCACCACCCCTCAAGAGGTCCCAGGCACTTGACATACGGAAGACACTCTGCTCTGAAACATCCAGTACATCCGAATGCGCAGTTGTGTTGGATCAAAACGTGACCTGAGAAGCAGCTCTGTTCAGAACAACTTATGTTTTGTTTGCTCACTGCAAAGCTGGCGTGTGGATTTGAAGGTGGGAGACTATAGTCTTGAGAAGAGTAAGGCTTCTGCGCCCCCAGCAAATACATCCTTAAAGGCAAAAAATTCAGTAGAGCCTGAAGTGATGGTCAGAAGATTTTCTGAAAGAAGACATTCCCTATGAACCAATCCAAATAACTACGGAGAGACAAGGAAGCCCTGTTAAGTGACTATTCACATAGCATACTAGAGGACAAAATAAAAGGTGGAGGAAGGGACAGACAGATAAGCAGCTTGTTAAAAGAAAAAAAAACAGTTAAACTAACTGGCTGCTTAATCAGTGAAACATTTCACTCTAAGAGTGCTGCCTCACAACAGCACTTGTTAAAGCAACACAAGATCTCTTCAAAAGCTCTGTTGCACGGAACAACCATCACTGAGCTCTTCATTGGAAAGAATGACCAGTCAATTGCCATTAAAAATTGTTTTTTTTCCAGGCCAATTTGCTGCTCACAAATGGCAACAGATCAATCGTCAGGAAAAGGAACTGTTCCTGGATGTTACAATAGCACAGGCACAGGAATACAAGCTTTCTCCAAGACTTCCTTGTGCAAGTGCCTCTGGAAGGACTCCTGCAGTCTCTGAGCAGATTTTTCAGTGTCCGCAACCTAGCCATTATCTTTTTGTTGCTGCTGCCAAAAAGTGAGTGAGTGAGCATCCACTGTGAGAGGCTTTGTGGCCCCTTATCAACTGAAACTGAATGCTTAAACTATTAGAATAGCTGACACTCATACTTCACATGAGCTTGCCGTTTCAAAAGACTCCCCCCACTCCTGTCAGATTCCCTGCAAAATTTCTAGGATGCTTCTAAGGTCCAATTCCATCAACTAGTCAGAGGTATTAGCACTGCTGCTTCATGTAGCACGCAAGGTCCTGAGGGGAAGAGAATGAGATCAGCTGAAATTTGTACGGACCAGCCGTTTGGTGATGAATTTGCAGTGTTTTCTACAGCAAGAGAGGCAGCTATTTTCATTAGGTAAAAATTAGAGACAAGAACATGTCTGTAACTGACTAAAAGCCAGATTTTCTGCTACCTTCAACAATAATTTCACTTCCCCTACGACAATGGCCCACAGGGAGAAATCTTACCAAAAACTATGATCTAAGCTACTCTCGGGAAACAAACGTCCCATTAAAATCTTCAACAACCCAAGAAACGTCACATCAGATGAGACCATCTATCCACTTCAGGATCTTCTTTACCACAGTAAACAGTAGCGCTACAGAAAACAAGGTAGAAAAAGCCACTCCTGAACAATCATGGAATATTTTCTAACTGGAAAACTGTAATTTTAGTTTCAACAAAGTTATTTATTGCAATGTCCTTCAGCAAACACAGGGAATCACACAGCTGGGGGAGAAGAGGCAGGTGGCACAAGAAAATCAAAACCTTTCCTCAAACCTCAAGGGTTTCAAAATTTTCCAAGCCATGAACGGAAGCTGCCTTTCAGGAAAGCCTCTGAAAGGCACCTGCCTTGCTGATCTGAGAACATTTTAAATTCAATAGGAGATCTTTTATTCCACCTAACAGACAAAACTGAAAGCAATTAGAGGAGCAACTTACACTTCACTTGACACATGGAGAGAACACCTGCACTACCTGCTCTGGAAGCAGAGTTGTCCTGTACCAGAAACAGAGACACTGGGCTTGACTGAAGTAAGTTGCACTGTCCTGAAAGAGAGTGCCTGAACCTGAGGCAAGATCACCAGATTTTCACATAGCCAGAGAGTTTTAGCTCTGCATTCCCAAATTCACACTGTACCTTTGTGTTTCAGATCAGACCTAAATATGGAAGAGAGTTTTCTGACCTAGTTTACATGTATTTATAAGCTCAGCAAAGCCAAATCAAAAGCTGTTATCCCATTCAGCTGTCAAGGAAGACATTTTTAACCTACTCCGCATTTGATCTCTTTGCTCTTGCTCCTTCGTTTGAGTAAGGTGCATACTTACCATATTCATAACTGTGAGGATGAATCTTTGGGCAGCCTCTGCACCATGGTACTGGACCATATCAGCATCTGCCACCACCAGAGTTTCTACTGTGTACTCATTGGTAAGTCGAATGGCGTTCCTTCTCTCTCTCCAGTCACTAGTTGATTTCATCTTCTTTTGTCTCTTCTTTTCTAAAAGGCAAACTACTTATTAAAGTATATTCTAGTTGTAACTGGCAGAATATAGTAAAACACTTATGCCCAAACACTGTTGTGCCAGATTGCACTGACTATGAATCAGAACGCCCTTTGCCCATTAAAAGAAGCCACTGAGAGGTTCCATTGCAAGTAAACCCATACCTCTGTGTGTGGATTTGTACAAGATCACCAGATTATATGAAAGAGGAGGGAAAAACAGAAGAAAGTCCGAACAGTAAAAGAATTGGCTGCAATTTGAACCAAGGCGGCATGCTCTTGCAAAAAAAAAATGCAGAAACTGTAAATACTGCTTGTGAGAGAAGTATCATTCCACTACAAAAGAACAAGGGATAATTATGGAAAAATCTGCTGAAAAAAACTTCAGGGTAGGAGCAGACTGTGCTGTGGAATGCAACGTGCATCCTAGCTAAGGAAGCTGTAAGATATTCCTGTAGTCAGTATTTCAATCAGTTGCATTTTAATTTGCTACCAGTGCTACTACAGCAAATTAACAGAACACAAGATTGAGTCTCAATCATTACATTTTTTCAATGAAGCCAGATAGTTTTGGAACATGAGTTACTGACCAACTGCAGAAGTCCCTGGGATGAAACCCAGAAGTGCAGAAGGTCAGGCTCGCTAAGACCTTCTCAGGCTTTCTTTGCTCATTTATTGCTATTGGCATGAGCACCAGCAGCTGCAGTCACTGGCCACCTACATACAGAGAGCCCATGTGCCTCTTGTTGTGATCTGTGTACCAAAAGCAGGGGACCCCTTAGACTAGCCGCTCCTTAACAATCATTAGTTGTAAGAACCTCTGAAAAAGGAGCCATTCTAAGGACTGCAAAAAGCAGTAGTGGTCAGCTACTGCCAACAGAAAAATTAAAGCATGGAAGTTAGCCATTAAAGCTCCCCCCATCCAAACTAAGGGACTAATACATTAGTAAGTTGTCCTCTTCTAAACTGAGAGGCAAAACGTGTTTCACAGCTCAAAGGCAGATGTGCAAAGCAGCTGAGGCATGAACAAAGGAGAAATTAAGTAAAGACCTGAAGCTGAATCTACTCAATTCATTGCAGCCATGAAAAATATATTCATGTTTTCAGATGTAAAATGAAAGAAAAGCAAATTAAGTAGTTAAGTTTATTTTACAGGAAGATACCAAACCCCAATATTCACTGAAATTATATCTATTTACTGCTTAGGCTGCAATACACTAAAATACCAAGACTAGTATTAATGTCGAGTTCTTCCAATGGCAGGCCCTGAAACAGCGGCAAGACAACATTCAACGCAAAAGTGACATAGGACAGACCATAAGTCACACTGCACATACTGCTTTCCCAAAGCAGACAGACTCTACTTAATTTTCTGCAGATTTTATTTCAGACCTCGTCTTAACAAAGCACTATCCTGCAGTGGGCAGATCTCAGGAAACTTTTGTTCAGTGATCCTGTTTTCCCACAGGCTGTTTACCAGCTCCCTTACATAGTTCTGTTTGAACTTCTTTTCCTTCCCAGGCTGGTAAACGTGCTAGCATCCAGCTTATCAGTTTCCCCTGAGTGACTTTCTTTTTTTCAAGGTGTCAGACTCCAGCAGTTGTGAGCCTCCATAAACCCACCTGAAACAAGCTCCCTGCCTTCTGTTCATTCATACATTTTCTGTCTTGTCAATATGCACATTTGCACATGTCCATCCCATCCTTGTTCACAGTTGTCTAGCAATCATTCCAGCATAGCTCTGCACGTGCTTTTGTGCCCAAGGCATCAACTGTCAGCACTTGGTACATATTTTCAAAGTGAGAGAACAACCATGAAATTTGATTTGAATCTTTTTAAGATGAGTTTGGAAATATCCCCCCCAGGTCTAACAAGACAGACAAGTGCCCCTAGACAAGCAAAAAGGGTTAATTACATCTCGGGGTGCTCATAAATCACGAGATCTACATGCCAGCAGCAAAACTGAAAATTACCAAGTTTCAAGGTTTGTTATCACATTGACTGCAGGGCAGCTCCAGAAAAGGGTGCAATCATTAACAATCATGACATGATCCCCCCTGCCTCAGAGCAGCGGATCTGTACATTTCTAAGTGCTTGAGAAATGCAATAAAAGAAAATGAAGCAACTATACCAGAAAGAAGGGAAGATGAGTGCACCTTTGATTTGCCAACTATGAAATGGAGATGGCTTCGAACTACTGTAAATAAGCTCTCATTTGTTTGTTCCTTCCATTCATCCATTCATCCCCCTGGAGAGCCGCTCTTTAGTCCTGGTTATCATTTCAATATCAGGGGAGAGGAAGGATGCGAGGGCAGATTATTCCAGTAAGAACCCTAACCTTCTGGGTCTTGCTGCTGACAATCAGAACCTTCCTGGAAGTGACAGCACTGTCCCATCAAGTTACTGTTTTGATAATTCCCTGATAAATTCAAAGCATTTAGGTGGCATAAATTTCCTACCAGAAGTTACACTGCACCTGTACAGAAGTTACTCTTATTGGTGGCTAGGCCTGGAGGACTCAAAGAATCCTCCAGGCATCGAATGAGCTGTGAAAAACGCTGAAGTGGAAGAAGATAAATTCAGAGCACTCAAGGTTTTCACTTCACAGTCTCCTTGGTGGAAATGAAGTCACTTGTGCCAGCAGAGGAGCCCACTACACCAAGTGGTTAGATTGCAACTCGGGCACACAGAGCCAGGCTGGAGAAGGGGTCATGCTATGGTCACTTGCTATGCTGCTGCCTGGTATGGCCCCCCTTCCAGGGGCAGATGAAGGAATTGGCCAGGCATTGCCAATCCCCACTCAGCACCTCCTTGCAGCTGTACAAAACTCTGGAAGGTGTGATTTCTGGACAGCAGCAGCGTAAAAGGGACCCCTGGCAAATTGCTGGGCAGTCTTGGTTTGCACAAAGTCCCCCACCCCCATCCCTTCATGAGTTTTTCTTGAAGTTGTGGACTGGCTGCTTTCCACAGGGTGGTGGGGATTTGAGGTTGTATGTGGAAAAACTACCATCCCACAGGCTTGCCTAGAAAGACAGCCAAAGTGATCTAACTCTGAGAATCTGGACTCTTACACTTGGAGAATGTGAGGATTGAGGGTAAGCTTACCAAGCACTTAAAATAGGCAGTGTGTAATGGCCTCAAGGGAGCCTACAAAGAGCTCAGGTGGTCACTGCTGATACACTAAAGAGGTAAGGCAAAGCAACATGAACTGCTAGCCTAGAAGTCCTTTCTTTTTCCTTCTTTTGCCTTTCTACATTTATAACTCCTCTGTAGGGTAACTTTTCTTTATATATGTTTTTTTTAAAAAAAAAAACAACACCACCTTTTTGTCTTTTTTGTGCTTGCAGAGGGCTACCTTCAACCGGTCTCTATTTGAATCTTCCTGCTTCTCACACATGCAACTGATTTTCCAGCATAATCAAGCACATGGTGGAAACACACAACTACCCATTCAAATGGGTGAGCAATTACTAACAGAGCAAAAGAAATACACATATCCCACATCACATGCATTTGATGAAGAAGAGCAAAAGACTAGAAACTAAGGGTAAAATTCCAGATCAAATGTATCTGCATCCTGTAACTAATACGTCATTCAACTTCATGTAAGTATCAAAAAGAAAGACCTCTCTAGAGCCTCACTTCAGAAACAGACAAGTACAGAGGAGTCTCACTCCTGCCCTCTGTGACTTATGGACTATGGGCAGAGAATCCCTCCATGAGTACATGAATCCCCAAACTAAAATAAACATCAGCCATTAAAACAAAGATTAAATGCTTGGTGGATTCTTTATTTGAACAAACTGATGTTACAAATTTTGTGGTACAGATGTTAAGTGTTAGTGTGAAGGCATGAGAGGCCATAAAACATAGGCAGGAGGTTGTCAGAGGAGTTTACATTGCAGGGAGCATACATAACCGTACTGCAAAACTAGTTTAGGAGTCAGGTGTTCTTGACTTAAGAAGTCAGACAAAATTCATGTGAAATATGAGCTGAAACAAGTCAACCTACAACACAGTATATATATATATATGCTGTGGGTGACTAGGCACAAGGGACATAACTCTTGCCAGCTGCTTTGACAGTGTGTTACACGCTCTCCCCCAGCCAAAAATTCCACAAAATTCAGGACTGTTAGGTGCTGGGAATAGGGTAATACACTCCTGGATGCTCAGCATGAAAACGCATACAATACTGCACAAGCTCATCAGCTGGCTTTTATTCACAGGCTCTTATTTTTCCTTAGTGAGTCACCTACAGAGCTACCATCCCACCTTCTGCAGTCCACCTGTCTTTGAACTCTTCCTTAGGACGGCAGAAAACATAGTCCTTACTCCTATCGTAAGCACAATACAGCTCTTCCGGAGCCTCAGCAGAAAACTCCTTATGTTCACTGCTTTTTATGGCAACTCAACAGATGTGTAATAGGAAAAGGTCATTTGGGGCGGTTGCTTTGGAATTGCACACCAAAAGCCCTGTCTAGCACCGTCTGGTTTTTGGCACATTCTCCCTGTAACTGCTGAGTCCTTTCCTGCTCCTTCTGCCTCCCTTCCAACAGTATTTCCCAGACTCATCTAAAAAGCAACCTCCTCTGCTAGCCCTCAACTCTCCACTTTTTTCCTCTCATCTTCCCCCTTGTAATTTTAGCTATCTCATGCCATTTAAACCTACAGAGAGTTTCTGGATGCAGTTCAACAAAAGCCACAAATATAAGCAAAACTAGAATCCTCTGTGCAAGGCTAGATTTCTTCCTAGAAGCCCTTTCCTATATACCTGCTTTAAAAATCCTCTCCACTTCTTCTTCAGGTAGCCCTTTGCCAGTTCCCTTCACTGATAACCCCTGTAACATCCCTATAAGCCCCCACACAGACCACTAGCTCCATTTTCCTTCCTGCTTTTATTTCAGCAGCACAGGAAGGAAAGAATGTGCAAGCGGCACAAACAGCTAACATCATTTGTCCCTATGCCCCAGGAGCAGAGAGCCCTTCGTTGGCAC